GAAAAACTCATGTACAATTTAAAAAACAGCACAATCACTCTTGCCAATTTAAAGGAAAAATATTCTCTTGTATTCCTGCAGCTCCAATGATATGTGAACAGTGCCCTAGAGCTGGGCCTCTGGAATCCACACCTGATGTGTTTGCTCATGAAGGGAGAAAATGAAAGCAAAGACCTGTAAGGAACCCTCAGCACCACAGTGCTGGCTGGGACAGACTGCACATCTCAAGAAGGATGCTCAGGTAATGCACCCTCAAAAACCCTGCCCAACTCAGACAGCAGCCAGATCTGAGCAGCTGCCACAGTGCAGTCCTGGCCAGGATGCAGCTGACCTTGAGGCTGGCTTCACAGAAGCAAAAAAGAAACTCTACCTGTTCTATTTTTATGCTCACATAAGGTTTTCCAAGGCCCTGCTGTCCAAACCACACCCACCATACAGGACTCTTTCTTACAGATGTATAAAAATGTAGTATTCGTTACAGAAAACAACACTCGGGACACCAGTTTCCTTCCCCGGGCTGCTGAGGCTCACACATAAGCAGAACTTTTAGCCTATCCCTTCACTTACCTCGAGTAGTATATCCTCCAATGACGTAAATCTTCCCTTTACATTCACACGCAGAGAATTCAGCAAGAGGATTTGGTAATGGTGTCACAAAATTCCATGAATCCTGCTCAGGATTGTAACATTCAACATTAGAAACAGCCTGCCCACCAATGGCATAGAGTTTTGAATTAACAGCCACGAGTTTGAAGTTAGACCTGAAAAAGAGAGACAAGGGCCCACAGAGTGAGTTCTGATCAGAACAAGTATGACAATGGCATGAACAAGTAAAGCAGAGAACAGACTCTACTGACAGCTAAAGAAACTCAGCTGTCCACAATGGTGGTTATGCTGCCCAGGGACAAAGGAATGACACAATGACTTCTCCAGTACAGGACCTCACTTGCCCTTGAGGTTCGACAGGAAGGCCACATTCTCCACAAATTAGCAGTTGCAGTTAAGCAGTTCAATATATCAAGAATTAATCTCACTCAGTTTTAGGCCAGGCACCAAAGATATACTGTGAACACTGTAAATTGAAACAGTGGGCCTCTGGATCACAATTTTGCACTCACAGATTAAAAATATCGGGGTGGGGGCTGCATCTGTACTAAACATGCACAGACTTCTCCCTTTTCATTACTTCCTTTAAAATACAGTATAACTATTTATATAGCACTTACCTTATATTATAAAAACTAGAGATTAAAGTACACAGGAGAACACGCAAAAATTATGTGCAAATACTGCACCACTTATAAAAGGCACCTGAGCACCCATGGGTTTTTGTTTGGTATTTCTCTGCTTGTTTGGAAACAAGGTCTCTTTGTGTAGTCCAGGCTGGCCTCAAATTCAGAATCTTCCTGCCTCAGCTCTCAAATGTTGGGATTATAGGCATATATTGCCACAGTAGTGATTCATGGATTCCGGTATCTGACAAGAGTTCTGGTACAATTCTCCATGCATATTTTCTTTCCAGGGAGAAGCAAGTATAAGAGAGCAAAGTTCGAGTCTCAAAATGTATAGTAGATAAAATGAAATATGAAGAAAAGGTCTAAAGGGGAAGGGGAACTGGGAGGGATGGGGGAAAAGGAAAAAATATGAGAAAAGGCAAAAATGGAAACAAAGTCCTTGTACATAGGGAGAGGTGGGGGGGTAGTTTGAAGGGAGGGCAGGGAAATGGGTAAAAAAATAAGAACCAAAATATATCATGTAAACATACAAACTCCCAATGATGAATGTCACTGTACTGTATACCTAAAATGTACCAATAAACTTAATGAAAAAAAAAGAACGCTTTTTCTCTTCCTGTACAAGCCTTGCCTGCATCAGCAAAGTGTCCATAGCAACTCCATGTAGTCCCTTCACATAGCCCCTGTACCTCACTCTAACTGTGATGTCACTGATAAGTATCAACCGCTCTGGGTGTCCAGGGCCTTTGCTCATTCAAGCCTCTGACTGCTCAAGAGTGGTGACCTTGGCCCCTATACCTCTGTCTTTAAGTTTGTCCTTGAGTGTTCCTTCTTACCTTGTGTCACAGCACCAAGCAGGAGATCAGGATCTGCTGCAGGGGCCTCCAGTAACTTTGAGCACTGCTTATAATTGCAGAGGCCAACATGTCTCAATAAATTCAGTACTATAATACTTGTGCAAATTTTTCTTTTCCTAATGTGTACATTTTTTTGTTGGACTCTGTATATTAGAGCTGGGTGTGGTAGTACATGCCTATAATCCCAAATACTCAAGAGGCTGAGGCAGGAGGATGGCAAGTTTGAGGCCAGCAACTTAGCTAGACCTTGTCTCAAAATCATTATTTTAAGTGCTAGGGATAAAGCTCCATGTTAGAGACTTGACAATCATACACGAGGCCAAACTCCAGTTCCACAATAAAGGTAAGCAAATTATATTAGTAATAACCAGCTACTAAAAAGTTGTTTTTTAAAGATGCCTATGTTTGTATTTAAATGTGCTTTAAATTTTATTTTGCTCTTCAAATCAGAAATTGAACAGAGTCCTCTTCACCAACAGCTTCACACCGCCCATTAAACCCAGCCAGGCATTGCATTTTTCATGCCAACAGCCTTCCACCCGGGTGGCAGTTACTGGGGGGTCCCTAATTCGTGCTGCTTGACTTCACTGCTGCCAATGGGCCTTAAAACCCACATGGTGGCCTCTCTATGTCTGCAAATATGGGGAACCAAAGGAAATAAAGCCTGTAAATAGACTCTACATTCTGCGAACCCTCAATTTATTTCTGCTCCCCAAAAGTACACAGATAGTAAATTTTCTAAGATCAAATGGTTTTACTGTGCATCCAGTATAATCATTGTCCTAAGCAAACAGGGAAGGGGCTTCTTTTTAAGGCTAAATAGGCAGTTAAGAGTAAAATCCCACTTCTCCAGGCTCTAACATGTTCAAATTCACTTGAGAAGAAAAGTCATTTATTAATGTTGCACTTTTTTTAAAGATAAAATTGCCACCTTAAAAACAGACCACTTACTAAAAAGGCATACTGTTCAGGTTCTAACTCAGGCTTGCACAGGGAAATCTCAGCTCCACTCTTAAACAGCTATGTGACTTTGGTCAAATGACTGAACGTCTGTGTATCTGTGCCTCAGTTTCCCCATCTGTAAAGCGGGAATAACAAAAGCACTGTTTCAGGCATTCAGGATGATACCTGCAGAAAGAAAGCCCTTCCCACTGCACTACTAAAAGTGCTTTTCTGTTCCCCCTACTGCTAAGTTTCTTAACTTTGGGAAAGGTCAGTTTCTTATGTATCTGATGTATTCTGTGCATGGCTGAAGGGTTCACGTTGTGATAAACTCTGGCGAGAGATTAAGAAACTTGAAAAATAAAACAAAGGAGACAAAGACTACATTAAAATTTACAAAGCTGAGGCCAAAGCTTGGATTACTGTGTTAAACACAGCATGGTACTGGTAAAGAAACAGACCTGAGGGTCAGTGGAACAGATCAGAAGTTGCAGAAACAACTCCAGACATATTAAGCTACTTCATCTTTGACAAAGGAGCCAACCAACCTAACTGGAGGAAAGATAGCCTCTTTAATAAATAGTGCTGGAAAAACTGGATTTCAACCTGCCAAAGATTAAAACTAGACCACTAAATTTCACCATGCACTAAACTAAAGTACAAGTGGATTAAAGATCTAAATATTAAAACAGGAACACTAAACTTGCCGGAAGATAAATTAGGTAGAACTCTTTAACACATTGACATAGGAAAAGACTTTCTGAAAAAAAGGTCAGTAGAACAGGAACTAGCACAAATAACAACTGTGATCTTATCTTATTAAAAAGCTTCTGCACTGCAAGAGAAACCACCAACAGAGCTAAGAGACAAGCTAGAAAGTGGGGAAAAAAATTTTATCAGCTGCTCCTCAGACAAAGGACTACTATCTAGAATATATAAAGAACTTAAAAAAAATCAGACCCCCCTCAAATGTAAAGACCCAATCCAAAAAATGGGCATCTGACATGAACAGTCATTTCTCAAACAAGTAAAAGCAGCAAATAAATTTAATAAAAAAATGTTCAATAATCACTGGTCATTCAAGAGATACAGATGAAAACAACACTGAGAGTCCACCTCACCCCAGAAAGAATGGCTGCTATCAGGAAATCAACCAATAACAAATGTTGGCGGGGTTGTGGGGAGAAAGGAACCTTTCTCCATTGTTGGTGGGAGTGCAGAGTCGTGCAACCACTGTGGAAATGAATATGGAGATACCTCAAAAAAAACTAGGATTACAAGTCCCATTTGATCCAGCTATTTCTCTGGGTGTCTTCCCCAAAGAATTGAAAGAATCACACCACAGTGTTATATGCTGACCCATGTTTATAGCGGCACAGTTTGTAATAGCTAAAGCTTGGAAACAGCCCAATTGCCCATCAACTGGAGACTGGATTAAAAAGATGTGGTTTTTTAAATAAAATGGAGTACTACTCAGCTATAAAGTATGAGAAACTAGTGACATTTATAGCTAAATGGAGGCACACTGAGGCAATATTCTGAACTGAAAATAAATAGGACAGACATATGTAAATACTGAATTGTTTCTCTGATGTGAGAAACTAACAGCATAAATAAGAATCAAAATGTATAGCAGATAATATAAAATAGGAAGAAAAGGTCTAAAGGAGTAGGGGAAGTGGGAGGTGTGGAGAAAGGAAAGAAGGGAAAGGAAAAAATATGAGGAAAGGAAAAATGGAAACAAAGTCTTCATAAATAGGGAGGTGGGTGGGGTTGAAGGGAGGTCAGGCGAATGGGGAAAAAATAACCAAGATACATCATGTAAAGGTACAAGTTCGCAATGATGAATGTAACTGTAACTGTGTACCTAAAATATACCAATAAACTTAATGGAGAAAAAAAAAAAAGCTTGGCGTGCATCCTCAGCACCTTTATTTATAGCGTAGATGAGGAAACCGAAAGGGGATGCCTGATTGGAACAGGGAGAATGGCTAGGGTCTGCAGGAGATAATGCTTGACATTTCTCTGGTCAATGCATGGGAGGGAAGATGGTTTTTCTTTTTGGTCAGGCCTTGCTCCACCATGGCCACCACAGGAGAAGTGAGTTAGTCCTGGCCATAGTGGTCTATAGTGAATTGCTCCCAGCAATTCTGGAACTCTGTACAAAGTACTCTTTCATCTACAAATTCTCGCCACTCTGCACCTCATTGCCAACTTTCTGAAAATAACTCTTCCCCTCTTCACTTCCTCAATGATAAAGGTATGCACTGGAGCTATCAATCACTTTTAGAAATTATGAGTTTTACAGTGTATGATCCCAGATATACTATGTTCAGGAGATGAAAAGGAATTTAAAACGATTTAATTTGTCACAGCTATACACTCAATTCATTTGCAATAAATAGAACTCCAAGTGATTAAAAAAGTAGCTATGACAGTACTTTAATTTCCACTTCACTTATAAGAAATAAAAAGGTGAATCAGGAAAAAGAAAGAAATGAAAGAGGTATGAACAGAAAGAAAGAAGTCAGACTATCCTTATTGGCAGATGACATGATCCTTTACACAGAAGAATCAAATAACCTCCCACTGGAAGACTCTTAGAACTAATAAATCCAGCAGGGGCAGGATATGAAATCAACACATAAAAATCAACAGTATTTCTGTACACCAACAATGAACACACCAAGAAAGAAATCAGAGAAAGAAAGAAAGAAAGAAAGAAAG